ACACACTCTCTCTCACACACACACACGGGATCAGAAGCCAGAAAAAGGGACAATTCACCCTCTCTAGCCCCTCGAGATGCTGACAGAGTTAATTAACTGTCTTAATTCTCACCATGGGTGTTTGGAAGACGTCAGTGTGTGACAGCAGTCACACACCGTGTGTGTTTTCTGCTTAACGCAGTTGTGGCAGCCTTTCAAACACACTCAGAAGCTGTCTGGAAGCTGTCAATACAGCTTTCTGATCAAATTAACCCTCCACAACACATAGCTCAAAGGAGAAAGCATGTGAACATTACCGCTAGCTTTCTCCACACTGAAAGAAATGCTTTTAGGAGCTGTTATAGCTGCAATTTTCCTTTGTCAATTTAGTCCACAGTGAATTCTTGAATCAAGCTGAAATTAGACTGCATTTTCCTTTTAGGTTCTATTTCTTGAGCTGTGCTATAGCATGGTTTCGGGAGGCGACATTAAAAAACACACATACAAAAACTCCCATATGGGAATTGTCTAACTGCTTCTGCGTGTTATGGACATTTGTTTGTATTTAAGTTTCAGGTCACTCGGCTGTTTACAGCTCGCATGTTTCAGGTCATTAATCACTCCGAGTTAGAGCGTGAGGCAGAATGACAGAATTGAAATATTGTTACATCGGTTGCCTGTTTTCCTGCTGTGTTCATTTGCTGATTGAGGCGTAAGTATTTGACCAATATACCATCGATATCCATTTACACAAAGCCATCCACACCCAAGCAGGTCCAGACATTGCAGTACTTACTAGTAGAGCACTTCATTAGCCTCGTGTCTTTCGTATCGCACCGTCTCACACATTATCCTGCAGGGACAGAGAAGAAAAGGAGGGGAAAGTGTCAGTTAGAAAACGACAAGCAGAAATGACTTAATTTCAATAGTAGGTTGGTTAGAAATGTCACAGAAATGACAAAAAATAAGCCCTACAATGGGTGTAGATTCAAATACCCAATATAGTAAGCAAAGGTGTTTTAAGATTAAATACTGTCATACATTTTAGGGTCAAGCTACAGCTGGTGATTTACTACATTTAGCTATCATCATTGACAGGCAGTCATGTTGTTGCTGCAACACGTGGCTAAAATTGGGGTTCTGAATGCTTGGATTGGGTTGTGTTGCTGCCCCAAGTGAAGGAGTTTAAGCATGGCGGGATCTTCTTCACCAGCAACGGTAAATGGAGTGCGACAGTTTGGTGCAGCATCTGCAGTAATGTAGGAGTTTACTGGACTGTCCTGTTGAACAAGGAGGTCAGCCAGAGCACAAAGCTCTTGATTTACCAGTTGATCTACGTTCCAGCTCTCATGTATGGTCATCAGCTCTAGGTGACAACCTAAAGACGGAGATTGTGGATATATGTGGGTAAAATGAATTTCCTCTTCAGGGTGATTGGGATCAGGCTTAGAAAAAGGGTGAGGAACTCGGACATCCGGAATCTTCACATCCAAAGGAGGCAGCGGAGGTGGTGTGGACATATGATTAGGATGCCTCCTGGTGTGCCTTCCTTTGGAGGATTTCTGGTGATGTCCAACTGGGAGGAGACCCTGGGGTAGACGAAGAACTCGCCAGAGGGATTACATATCTCATCTGGCTTGGAAACGCCACGGGATCCCCCAGGAGGAACTGGAAAACGCTGCTGGGGAGAGAGACGTCTGGAATGCTCTGCTCAGCCTGCTCCCACCACGACACGACCCCGCATAGACGAGAGATAACGGATGGAACGGATGAACTGCTAAATGCATTTAGAAATGTTGAGAAAAGCGTGGCTGGTGAGAAGAAAGCAAAAGTCACATTAACAGCAGAGCAGGAGGGTGGCTGCATTGCCTTATGGTCGGTTGAGGTCATTGTTGAGGGGAAGTGTGCGTCTCTTTTGTGGGCAAATAGGACATATTGCATAACAACAACAAAAAAAAATTCTTTATGCTACAGTTGGAAGTGTCAGATCTTTCATTACCTTTCCTTTTATTGTGCCTTATAACTGTTGAAGGAGCTTTATGTTTTCATAGCCACACACTGCACAACAGCCTCTCCCTTTACCTTAGAGAATCAAAATTGCTGGGCTTTTCTTTTAAAATCTTCTTTTTAATTTGTATCATCCTATGTTAGTTTTGTAGCACGATACGAAACTTAATTTGGTGCAACACAATCACAGTTCCACTCATGACACATAGAAGCCACCCTGACGAAACCAAGTCCTGTATATCTGGTCACTAAGCACCTCCACTGTAGCAGCTAGAGGTTTAGCGTTTTTGCTTAAGGGAAGCAAAACAGCAGTGAAAGTTTTCTTTAGGATTTGTAGTATTAACCTCAGAGCCTGTATATACCTCTGCTCCCTCAAAAACCAGATGTCCTGTATTTAGGTCGGTTAAACATTAACAGCGCAAGGATTAGATAACCGATTAATCATACATTAGTTTTCTGTTCTAAAATTAACTACAGAGTCATTTGTGACCCCACAATTCACATTAGTGAAAGTTTGTTAAATTTCCCACAGTCTGATTGTGCTAAATGAGAAATATGTTGTGATTTTTCAACCCTAAATACAACTCTTAAATCTGGCATATGAGCAATTTTTTTCTTTTCTTTGAATGAGTTCTTTTATAGGGGTAAATAATGGGTCTCTGATTTTGAAATGAAACCATTTTTCTCTGCTTAAAGTGTGAAAAAGTCCTCCATATCAGGCTTTCCCCAGACGCCTTAAGAGAAGACAAGTTGCCTGAATATTACAGGCAGGCAAACATAGTAAACAGTAACTGATCAAAACGCAAAAGGCTTCAAAAATAGCTGGGGGCGGACGTTGTGTTGCAGCCCCTTTGCACAAGGACTAAAAAACAATCCCAGCT